CCGTTAGCCAGAACTAGCGAGTGTTTTTTAGTGTTGAGTTTGCCGTGTACCTATGCCTGTATACCTATTTCTGAAAAAAATCATTGTGGTCTCTATATGACCACTGCCCATTGAATGTGGTCCGTATGGTAACCAGTGTCCGGAAAGTCATCTGCATCTTATTCACTAATATAATAAAACAACATGCTTGAACCTAGAAAAATGTTTATTTTTATACCATTGGGGATAATTATCGAAACAAGGCGCTGCACAGAGCAGAACTTGAGATATTTTGCACATTATTTCGACATATTTGACATAATATATTACACATGATCTAGATGGGTTTTATGTTGTAGTGCAGTATCTGCATCGTTTCCTGGTATGGTATTCCCTCGCATGGTGCCTTCTTATCAAATGGGCAAAAGTCATGTCAGGACCACAAGTTTTGACGGCATTTATCTCCGATAATATTAATACTAAGATAAATTAAAAAATTGTATAAATAACTACACTTATACATATAAATAATAATATTATATAATTTCATTCATGGACCCACATTCTATGTTTAGTTTTACGTTCTTCTTCATCTTCCAACAAGCAGCTAATAATAATAATATCTTCATCAATCTCCATGACCGAATACGTCAACTCACCACAACAAGAAAACACTCTAAACTGAATTAAAAATCCGGATACAGTGGACGCATGCCATTGGCAAATCTGTTCAATCCGTTGCGTGCCGTGCGTGCAGTGCGTCCGGCGCGGGCCAATAGACGCGTACCTTTAACATCTAAGTGTGTGACATTTACATTTAAATGAACAGACAATGCATTCTACTCTTAACCATCTTGATTTTTCATTAAAGTTAGACGCCTATAGGCTACATACTTAACACATTACAATCTTTCAAAAATCCACTGCTGAACATAAGCCTTTCGCGTACATTGCCTCATTGTTTTATGGATTACAGGTGACAAACGAGCACACATTTATGGTAAGTGGATGTTGTGGCCCGTAGACATATACATCTATCCTCGATTGAGAATCAAAACTCAGATGCGTTGTTACCCGTGAGGACTGAGATGGAATGACTCGATTCCAGTCAAAAAGGGTCTCCGGATCTCTGCACTCACCATACAAAACACAGCAGCATTAAGCTGCTATTATACGCTGGTATTCTGTTATTGCCTAATTTGTGCGTAAATAATAGTTGTATAATATTTATGGGGTGACCTATGCTTAGTAGTGGATTATAACTATAAGACAACTGTCATGGGTCCATAGTTCAGAACTTTTTCTAGGTCAAAAGATTTTGAAGATTTTTATTTGAAAATTTGTGCTTCTCATGTGATACCATATTTAACTAACTTCGACTACATTGATCTTTTCCTTTTATTTAATTTGAAGTTGGTTGTAAACGATGTAGTGACGGTTAAGCCGTGTAGTGGCGGTTAAGAATATTCACTACCTATCTTCCCGTGGGTGTCGTAAAAGGCGACAGAGGGAAACAGGCAGGAGATGGGCAGCAGCATCTTCCTGATAACAGCAACTGTACGACAAAAAAAAACTGCGGTTGCCAACCCGCTCGCCAAGCGTGGCAACTATGGCAATATACCCCCCATGAACAATTACACAAATAGACGCCCCCAGTCCCCGGCGGCCCCGCTATTCCTGGCTACGGTGGCGACCATGGTAACGGCGGGGCAGGGGGTGCTAAGAATCTCCGGTGGAGGTTCGGTTGTCACCTACGACGACTCGACCTGGCAACATTTAACGCACGCACACTGAGGACTGACGAGAAGATCCTGGAGCTGGAAGAAGAGATAGACAAGTTGCGCTGGAGTATTATAGGATTATCCGAGGTCCGAAGAGAGGGGGCGGACACGGTGATTCTCGAATCCGGCAACTTGTTCTATCACCGGGAGGGCGACCATCTGTCCCAAGGAGGTGTCGGATTTATCGTCCACAAGTCTCTCGTCAACAACGTTGTAAAGATTGGGAGTGTGTCGACGAGGGTCGCGTACCTGATACTCAGAATTACCAAACGGTATTCGCTGAAGGTCATACAGGTTTACGCACCAACCTCGGCACATTCCGATGAGGAGGTGGAGGAAATGTATGAGGATATTTCCAAAGCCATGCATTCCTCCAAAACCCACTACACTGTGTTGATGGGAGACTTCAACGCAAAACTAGGCACAAGAGAAAACGGTGAGCTGAAGTTAGGGAAATTTGGAGTAGGGCAACGGAACCGAAGGGGCCAGCAGCTGGCCGACTTTATGGAGAAAGAGGGACTCTTTATGATGAACTCTTTCTTCCAGAAGCGGCCTCACAGGAAGTGGACCTGGTCGAGCCCCGACGGTTCGACAAAATATGAGATTGACTTCATTATGACGACCAGACGCCAACTGTTCAGTGATGTCGCAGTGATCGCAAGGGTGAAAACTGGCAGCGATCACCGAATGGTTAGAGGCACACTGAACCTAAACGTTAAGTTGGAGAGGTCTCGTCTAATGAAGTCAACGCATCGTCCCCCTCGTGCTCTAATTCAAAATCCCGAAAACTTTCAGCTCGAGTTACACAACCGCTTTCAGTGCCTACAAGATTGCAATGCAGTGGACGATATGAATGACAAGCTCGTGGAAACTGTCCATGCGGTCGGAGCTAAGTTCTGCAAGACCCGCCGCAGAAGAACACAAAAACTCTCCAATCACACTCTTAATCTCATGGCTGTTAGACGGGAGATGAGGCTGCAATCGTCAACAGATTTGACAGCATACAGGCAAGTGAACAGACAGATCTCCAAATGCATGCGGCGAGACTTACGCAACTTTAATACTGCTCGTATTAAAGAAGCGATCGCGCGGAACCAGGGCTCCAAAGTCTTTGCCAGAGATCTGTCTGCCCGTAAGAGCCAACTGTCCAGGCTGAAGACTGAGTGTGGCAGCATCGTTTCCAGGACACCTGAGATTTTGAGTGAGATTGAGAAGTTCTATGGGCAGCTGTACACATCATCGTTGGAGCCACACGCAAGTGTGAGTAACGATCCAAGAGCAAGTCTTATCCGACCCTATTCCGATGATATCCCGGACGTCAGTCTAAGCGAGATTAGAATGGCTCTCCAGCACCTTAAAAACGGCAGGGCCCCAGGCGAGGATGGAATTACAGCGGAGCTTCTGAAAGCGGGTGGAACACCGGTACTTGAAGTCCTTCAGAAGCTCTTCAATTCCGTCCTCCATGGTGGCACTACTCCAGAGGCGTGGAGCAGAAGTGCGGTGATCTTGTTCTTTAAGAAAGGCGACAACGCTCTCTTGAAGAACTACAGACCGATTTCCCTTCTGAGCCGCGTCTACGTGCTGTTTTCGAGAGTCATTACGAATCGTCTCGCACGCAGACTCGACGACTTCCAGCCTCCCGAACAAGCCGGTTTCCGAAAAGGCTTCAGTACCATAGACCACATACATACCCTGCAGCAGATTGTACAGAAGACTAAAGAGTACAATTTGCCACTTTGCCTGGCGTATGTGGACTATGAGAAAGCCTTTGATTCCGTCGAAATTTGGGCGGTGCTACAGTCCCTTCAGCGGTGCCAAGTTGACTGTCGGTATATCGAAGTGCTGAAGTGTTTGTACAGTAGGGCTACGATGGCTATCCGAGTACAGAACCAGAGCTCGAAACCTATCCAACTGCAGAGAGGTGTAAGACAGGGTGACGTTATATCCCCGAAACTCTTCACCGCTGCTTTGGAAGACGTTTTCAAGCTACTGGACTGGAAAGGATACGGTATTAACATCAATCAAAGACTTAAGCACTATGCTCAATGACCTTAATAGTGCCTCCCAACGGATAGGTCTTAAGATGAACATGGACAAAACAAAGATCATGTTTAATGTCCATATCACACCTATGCCGGTAGTTGTTGGGAGCACTATGCTCGAAGTTGTTGACGAGTACGTTTACTTGGGACAAATAGTCCGACTAGGTAAGTCCAACTTCGACCGAGAGGTCAATCGAAGGATTCAACTCGGCTGGGCAGCGTTCGGGAAATTACGACACATCTTCTCGTCAGGTATACCTCAATCTCTGAAAACTAAAGTGTACAACCAGTGCGCGTTGCCAGTGATGACTTACGGATCAGAGACGTGGTCCTTCACTGCTGGCCGTATGAGGACGCTCAAGGTCGCTCAGCGAGCTATGGAGAGGGCTATGCTCGGAGTTTCTCTGCGTGATATACTCAGAAATGAGGATATCCGCAGTAAAACCAGAGTGACCGACATAGCCCAACGGATTAGTAAGCTGAAGTGGCAATGGGCCGGCCATATAGCTCGAAGAATCGGTAACCGATGGGGAAGAAAGGTTCTCGAGTGGCAGCCTCGTACCGGTAGGCGTAGTGTAGGGCGACCCCCCACTAGATGGAGTGACGACCTGGTAAGATATGCAGGAAGTCGATGGATGCAGGTGGCTCAGGACCGTGCTTTGTGGCATTACTTGGGGGAGGCCTATGTTCAGCAGTGAACTTGTGAAGGGCTGTGATGATGATGATGATGATGATGTAAACGCTGGTATCCTGTGAGAGCGAGGTCCTTCCCCGGTCGAGCCGACCCATTCGCGCTACGACCATAATATATGTGCAGCGTAGCTCTTCCACGTATAACAAGGATACCACGCATAAGGAAGGATATTTGCCACAGTTGCCACGCTCGGCAGGCGGGTCGGCAAACGCAGTTATTATTTCTTCTTGTTGTTAGGAAGACGCGGCTGCCCGTCTCTTGGTTTGATTCCCTCTGTCGCCTCTTACGACACCCACGGAACGATGATGGGTAGTTGATATCCTTATATTGCCACTACACGGTGGATAAAAATACAATCATAAAGTCTTAATTCCTGAAGCTAGCCAAGTAACCAAGTGGCAATATAAGAAATCGCAAATCGCGGTGCTGCGTGTTGCGATTTCTTATATTCGAACGTTCACCAACACCAGCGTGGTGAACACGCAAAAAGAAATCTTCGAAGTGATGCCAGATGACGCATTTTTGGGAGAGCCTAAGTCCAGCTGTGAAGTTGAAGACTGTTGGTGTGATGTGAAAATGCTACAGAAACACTCTCACTCCCGTCACCGCTTCAAATTCTAAGGCGAAATCTCTTCTTCCTCTCCTTCTGCTTAACAGTCCGTCTGTGTAGGGGGTTCTGTATGGGTGGTGCCCTCTTACCTTCGGGTATTGCTGCCGTCAAGTAGCGGTGCCTGCACTGCTGTGTTTCGGTCACAGTGGTATGTCGAGCCAGTATCATTACAAGATGCGAGACATTCCATTTTAGTCCTCAAAAGTGATAACGCATCTGAAGCCTTTGTTTAAAGTTGGCTGCAGTTAGGTATCAGATGAACTGTAGCTTGCTTGTCACTTCAACCTCAAAAAAAAACAAAGCTTTATGGACATAACTAGGAATTATCTAAGGACAATATTGAATAGTTTTATTAAAAAAAAAAAGGTGGAAGTTATCTTGTCGATTCTAGCAAATTCTTCCTGACAGTACATGCTATGTACTTTGATTATGAAACCCGGGTTGCTCGCTCTAAAATTTACTACGAGCGTTTAGTCACTGACTACCACCTGATTTTATTTTTATTAATTTACAGGGAAAAGACAAAAGAGCAAACGTCATGGTGCTTCTGGAGGAAGCGGAGACTTCTGGTAGCGCTTCTAGCGTTCTTCGGATTCTTCAACGTGTACGCTCTCCGAGTGAACCTCTCGGTCGCAGTGGTCGCCATGACGGAACCCGTCGAAACGGAACTTGAAAATGGAACCATTGTTTATGTAAGTCGCTTGAATAGTTGACTTTGTAAATTATAAAATATAATATATTGAGCCATACTTACCATCACTTATTAGTTAAAAAATAGCATCTCAAATCTTTTCTATAGGATAGGATGACAAACGAGCACACAGTCCTCTTGATGGTAAGTGGTTGCTGCGGTCCATAGACATTTATATCTATCCTCGATTACAAATCAAATGCAGATGCGTTGTCACCAGTGAGGACTAAGATGGAATGCCACGTATCTAGTAAAAAGGGTCTCCAGTTCTCTACACTCACCATACGAAACACAGCAGCATTAAGCTACTATTTTACGCTGGTATTCTGTGAGAGCGTGGTCCTTCCGTCGAGCCTACCCATTCGTGCTACAACTATACTACTAATATAACTGCAGCATGGCTCTACCATGTATAAAATACTTGCTAGAGTTTTTTCTTCTTTATCAGTCCGAGTGAACACAAGCCTCTGCTGTTGTAGGGTGTCAATCACTGCCACATTTGCCACCCTTGGAAGGCGGAATAGCGATCGCAGTAACAGACATCTCGTACCTTCGACGGTCACCTGATGGTAACTGACTATCGTCACCCATGAACAAATGCAACGACATCAGAGGAATTTTAGTTACATTGTTTGTTTTTAAAAAAAAGAGTTTTTAGAAAATTTGATAAAATTAATAAACGCTAGGGGCTCAGTACAGTTTGGCACGTGTGCGTTTTTTTTTAATTTTGTTTTATTTTTCTCCTGTATTTTGTAGGCGGTTTAAATACATAAATTGGACAAGAAAACACATCCAACCCCGGAACATTTAGATATAATTTGCAGGCTATACAAACACTTGTTTGGTGTGGATAACCCTCTCAGAAATGAAGGCGGGTCTGTGCTCCACTGTGGGAAGTATATATATATATATATATATATATATATATATATATATATACTTCACTTTGTTCAGATTAACCTGTATAAGCGATTTTCCAACAAAAACTGATTATGATATATGTGATAATACGTAATAAGTATATCAGTTATAAGCCAGTACATATTTAACCAATAAAGTCACATTATAAAGAATTAGTTTATTTAAGACAAAAAGAACGTTTAATATGCAGGTCCATAAAGTTTGATCCATACTTATCTTGCGTATATAATATATTTAAAGTCCACAAGGGTTAGGCTGTTTTAACGGCCTCTTTCGAGTTTATTATGTTTGCTCCAACATATTGTGCCGGACAAAAAACCGAGATCTGAACGATTATGGTAATGAAATTTTTATTAGATTCGCTTTTTACGATTTTGCGTTTCTATCAAACGGGTGAATGAACACAAGAGTAGGTCTGTTCTTAGCCAAACGGAGCTCTTTTACCTCAGCTCCAATTATCCGTCATGTTGATCAAATGTTACACTCGTAACTACTACCAGTCATCGCGCCGAGACGGGGCAATGCGGTGCAGTGCAAAGTGGGCGGAACGCTCCCGATCACGTCATTGGTCGTTCGGGAGCTGTCCGGCAGGGCTGTCTCGTCACGTTGCAAATGAATTAAAATGGTTCACACTACGTGTGCGGTAAAAACGGCGGTACAACAGGAATCTAAAATATAGTAGTTCAAAAAATCGAAAATATCTATCAGTTGCACATTTGTAAATGTGTTCATGTAATCTTAATAGTTTTAAGTTAAAAACTATTATATATTTAAAGTCACTTAAAAAACAAAGCTTGAAAATAATAACTATCGTATTAAATTGAAAATATAAACTAACATCTGTCATAATATGGCCGATATTAAATACTTCAAACTTTTCTTTACCGTCTCCTTCCCTCAAAATGGAGAAATTGGCTATTTAACTTACTTCGACGATAAACTTAATGACATAATTTTGTGTAAGACGGTATCTTTGTCTATAGAACTTGTGTGTATGTAACTGCAAAGCATCCACTCATTCATCATTTCAACATATAGTGTTAAATAGATTTTTATTACTCAAGGATACGTTATAAACTCATTATATTGTATTCGACAGTCACTATCTTTTTATAATTAACTTTTTTTTATAACTCTACTTATTAAAACCTAATTTTATTATTTCTGAATACCAATTGTCTAATTAAGTTATTTTAATTTGTTTTTACGTGGAATAAAAAAACAATCAATTTTTATTTATGTTTATTGTTTATGTCGGCTTTTCCGACAACATCAAAGGCGATCGATTACCATGCGTAGAACATACAGTCACGTTCTTTTTAGGCTGTGCCAAAGTCGATACTTTTTATCGAATAATTATTCTAATATTAACGTCATAATTAACACCGGTTCGCAACACAAGACCTTCACAGATAAGAAATATCAAGAAATTCTGGGATCTTTTTAATTCCATGTTACAATGTGATTCACAATTTATAATAAATTGAAATGTCAAATGTACTACCCGTGCGGTTAAAGAATGGGATTGAAAATGACGGATCTCTATTCACCTTTCGCTCCCACACTGTTGCTATCTCACTCACACCCACCGGTAAAGACTGCAAAAAATACTATAATAATAAAATAAAAATATATACTAAAAATGCGTTTTTCGAACGCTCTATAACTTCGGTCCAACTTTTAATTGGAATTAATATTTAATAAAATGCCCTAAACCACGAACAAAAAATCAGTCTAGTTTTGCTAATTTGTGAGCTATGACGCGTTTTCTTTATAATATAATGATATTAAAATTACAAGCCATTGAGAAATAAGTACCCATTTTTAAAAAATTCGTTTGCCTGTTTGTCCGAGCTAATCTTCGGAATCGCTGAACCGATTGCAATAAAACTTCACGAATAAAATAGAGTGTAATACCAGAAGTGATCTAGATCTATACTAAGTAAAGATGGTAAGGCCACGCTGCAGCTATATTATGGTTGTAACACGAATGGGGTGGCTCGACCGGGGAAGGACCACGCTCTTACAGATTACCAGCGTAAAATAGCAGCTTAATGCTGCTGTGTTTCGTATGATAAGTGTAGAGATCCGGGGACCCTTTTTTTGCTGGAAACAAAGCGTTCCATCTTAGTCCTCGGGGGTGACAACGCGTCTGCGTTTTGATTCTTAATCGAGGATAGGTGTAGGAGGATAGACATGGGACGAGTACTCGGTTTGGATTCGGTACTCGGTGAATTCGGCCTTTTGTTAGGGTAAAAAACCGAGTATTAAAGGTCGAGTATCGAGTTCTCGGCCTTAATTATATTCCAGAGAAAAATAAAGACAAAAAGCCAGTTTTTACCATTATTATAATATTGTACATATTAAAACATCAGGAACATGAGAAACAGCAGAAATATTGAGAACGTACATAAGAATCTATACTAGACATTCTTTGATGTTATCTCATAGTTATTGAAAGTTAAAAAGTAGATAAGTGTGTGATTTTTTTTGTATAAATGCAGAAATAATAAAATAATTGTAGGTTGCAATGCCTAACCCATCACAGAATGCGAAAGTTTGACCGTGTGTCTTGGACCTACTACTTTATTTAATTCCACAGTATAACGACTTAAGGTGTGTAAGTACTGAGAAAAGTGCAGTAGGATTGGAAACAATATTCATTTTGCGAAAGCAATTGTTCCTGACGTCACAGCCCATTATTCTCCCCGGCTCGTATCTCCGGGGAGCGAACGTCAAACCGACCGTTTCTGCGAGTGCGGCCCCACCATCGTCGTGGACATAGCGCAGCGCCACAACGCACGCCACTTGCTCGGAACCACCCGGTCGCGAACGCACGCATAACGGTTACTCTTGTATTAGTACCTATTAAATTATCTATACAGTCTCATTCATCATCATTACAGCCCTTCACAAGTCCACTGCTGAACATAGGCCTCCCCCAAGTAATGCCACAAAGCACGGTCCTGAGCCACCTGCATCCATCGACTTCCTGCATGTCTTACCAGGTCGTCACTCCATCTAGTGGGGGGTCGCCCTACACTACGCCTACCGGTACGAGGCTGCCACTCGAGAACCTTTCTTCCCCATCGGTTATCGGTTCTTCGAGCTATATGGCCGGCCCATTGCCACTTCAGCTTACTAATCCGTTGGGCTATGTCGGTCACTCTGGTTTTACTGCGGATATCCTCATTTCTGAGTCTATCACGCAGAGAAACTCCGAGCATAGCCCTCTCCATAGCTCGCTGAGCGACCTTAAGCGTCCTCATACGGCCAGCAGTGAAGGACCACGTCTCAGATCCGTAAGTCATCACTGGCAACACGCACTGGTTGTACAATCTAGTTTTTAGAGATTGAGGTATACCTGACGAAAAGATATGCCGTAATTTCCCGAACGCTGCCCAGCCGAGTTGAATCCGTCGATTGACCTCTCGGTCGAAGTTGGACTTACCTAGTCGGACTATTTGTCCCAGGTAAACGTATTCGTCAACAACTTCGAGCATAGTGCTCCCAACAACTACCGGCATAGGTGTGACATGGACATTGAACATGATCTTTGTTTTGTCCATGTTCATCTTAAGACCTATCCGTTGGGAGGCACTATTGAGGTCATTGAGCATAGTGCTTAAGTCCTCCAGCGATTCTGCCATAAGGACTATATCGTCGGCAAATCGAAGGTGAGTGATGTACTCGCCATTGATGTCAATACCGTATCCTTTCCAGTCCAGTAGCTTGAAAACGTCTTCCAATGCAGCGGTGAAGAGTTTCGGGGATATAACGTCACCCTGTCTTACACCTCTCTGCAGTTGGATAGGTTTCGAGCTCTGGTTCTGTACTCGGATAGCCATCGTAGCCCTACTGTACAAACACTTCAGCACTTCGATATACCGACAGTCAACTTGGCACCGCTGAAGGGACTGTAGCACCGCCCAAATTTCGACGGAATCAAAGGCTTTCTCATAGTCCACATACGCCAGGCAAAGTGGCAGATTGTACTCTTCAGTCTTCTGTACAATCTGCCGCAGGGTATGTATGTGGTCTATGGTACTGAAGCCTTTTCGGAAACCGGCTTGTTCGGGAGGCTGGAAGTCGTCAAGTCTGCGTGCGAGACGATTCGTAATGACTCTCGAAAACAGCACGTAGACGCGGCTCAGAAGGGAAATCGGTCTGTAGTTCTTTAAGAGAGCGTTGTCGCCTTTCTTAAAGAACAAGACCACCGCACTTCTGCTCCACGCCTCTGGAGTAGTGCCACCATGGAGGACGGAATTGAAGAGCTTCTGAAGGACTTCAAGTACCGGTGTTCCACCCGCTTTCAGAAGCTCCGCTGTAATTCCATCCTCGCCTGGGGCCCTGCCGTTTTTAAGGTGCTGGAGAGCCATTCTAATCTCGCTTAGACTGACGTCCGGGATATCATCGGAATAGTGTCGGATAAGACTTGCTCTTGGATCGTTACTCACACTTGCGTGTGGCTCCAACGATGATGTGTACAGCTGCCCATAGAACCTCTCAATCTCACTCAAAATCTCAGGTGTCCCGGAAACGATGTTGCCACACTCAGTCTTCAGCCTTGACAGTTGGCTCTTTCTGGCAGACAGATCTCTGGCAAAGACTTTGGAGCCCTGGTTCCGCTCGATCGCTTCTTTAATACGAGAAGTATTAAAGTTGCGTAAGTCTCGCCGTATGCATTTGGAGATCTGTCTGTTCAGTTGCCTGTATGCTGTCAAATCTGTTGACGATTGCAGCCTCATCTCCCGTCTAACAGCCATGAGATTAAGAGTGTGATCGGAGAGTTTTTGTGTTCTTCTGCGGCGGGTCTTGCAGAACTTAGCTCCGACCGCATGGACAGTTTCCACGAGCTTGTCGTTCATATCGTCCACTGCATTGCAATCTTCTAGGCACTGGAAGCGGTTACGTAACTCGAGCTGAAAGGTTTCGGGATTCTGGATTAGAGCACGAGGGGGACGGAGCGTTGACTTCATTAGACGAGACCTCTCCAACTTAACGTTTAGGTTCAGTGTGCCTCTAACCATTCGGTGATCGCTGCCAGTTTTCACCCTTGCGATCACTGAGACATCACTGAACAGTTGGCGTCTGGTCGTCATAATGAAGTCAATCTCATTTTTTGTCGAACCGTCGGGGCTCGACCAGGTCCACTTCCTGTGGGGCCGCTTCTGGAAGAAAGAGTTCATCATAAAGAGTCCCTCTTTCTCCATAAAGTCGGCCAGCTGCTGGCCCCCTTCGGTTCCGTTGCCCTACTCCAAATTTCCCTACCTTCAGCTCACCGCTTTCTCTTGTGCCCAGTTTTGCGTTGAAGTCTCCCATCAACACCGTGTAGTAGGTTTTGGAGGAATGTATGGCTCTGGAAATATCCTCATACATTTCCTCCACCTCCTCATCGGGATGTGCCGAGGTTGGTGCGTAAACCTGAATGACCTTCAGCGAATACCGTTTGGTGATTCTGAGTATCAGGTACGCGACCCTCGTCGACACACTCCCAATCTTTACAACGTTGTTGACGAGAGATTTGTGGACGATAAATCCGACACCTCCTTGGGACAGATGGTCGCCCTCCCGGTGATAGAACAAGTTGCCGGACTCGAGGATTGCCGTGTCCTCCCCCTCTCTTCGGACCTCGGATAATCCAATAATATGCCAGCGCAACTTGTCTACCTCTTCTTCCAGCTCCAGTATCTTCTCGTCAGTCCTCAGGGTGCGTGCGTTATATGTTGCCAGGTCGAGTCGTCGTAGGTGGCAACCGAACCTCCACCGGAGATTCTTAGCACCCCCCTGCCCCGCCGTTACCATGGTCGCCACCATAGCCAGGAATAGCGGGGCCGCCGGGGACTGGGGGCCGTCTGTTTGTGTATTTATTCATTGGGGGGTATTTGCCATAGTTGCCACGCTTGGCGAGCGGGTTGGCAACCGCAGTTTTTTATTACGTCACAGTTGTCATCAGGAAGACGCTGCTGCCCATCTCCTGCCTGTCTCCCTCTGTCGCCTCTTACGACACCCACGGGAAGATATGGGGTAGTGGATATTCTTAACCGCCACTACACGGCATACAGTCTAAGTCTAAGTATTTATTTAAGTCAAGAATTCCACCAGCACACGTGGAGCTTGATATTCAACACAAGCGTTTCCAAGGAAACTAATATTTTAACAATTCCCTCAGTGTTTATTTTTCAAAACATTGTGTAGGTACGTATGGGAAATAAAAACTTATCGAATAAAAACGGGTCGGGGTAACGCTAGAGGTTTCAGGCATAACATTTGCAAACTAAAATTTTTAACAAAATATCTCTGAAATTATAGTGCAAATTACTGATACGAAATATAAAAACTTGTTAAAGAAATTATAATGATCAACATACCATGATACCATAGGTACATGTTCAATATGGAATTAATAAATAATAAATAACATATAGTCCGTACAAATAAAGAATGGGATTAGATATGGAGAGCCCGTACCGTCAACAAGTACAGTACCAATAGCGAAAACCCGCTAATAACGATATAACGTTATAATATTCGGTTAATTGTAAATTTATGTTAATAAGAAAAAAATTCTCTATTAATGAGAAAATATTTGAATAAAACTGTACACGCAACTAGGTATATTAATTTTAAATTAAATTTATAACAAGCGACCCACTCTGGCTTCGCCTGGGTGTTTTCTAATAATGCGGCGTTATTTAGACTTAATATAATCGTTAAGTCAATTTATGAAGAAGAAAGAAGCCGCTGACGCATCAACCAGTTATCAACCTAATGATCCTAAGAACTCCGCTGCAGCATAAAGGCAGCAACACTACACTTACACATGACAAATTACAATTAAAAATAAAACAAGTGACTTATTAACAAACAAAAAACAGAAAATTAAACTAAAGAAAAGAAAAGCGTCGATTATATGTGCATGCAATGTGCTGTGACGAAGTGGTGGAAGGGACCATCTCAGCATAGGCAGCAAGCTCGCTTGCAGCGCTGATTTTCAGACGGCCCTGAACAAGTTCGGACGGTCTAACTTTATGCGAGCGAGTATATTTTTTAACATACAATCATTTTATTATTACTGCGTAAAAATCACACACTTTTCTACTTTTAACTTTCAATAACTATGAGATAACATCAGAAAACAGAACTGTCTTAGACATTTTTATCATACATACAGACATATCTTGTAGACATTATAATAATCTTAGACATTAAAAAACATCCTATAAAAAAACATGAATAAATTTTAGTACCTGGAAGACTGAGCTTCGATCGGTATTTTTTTTTTTTTGGAAATCGTGTGTTTTGGAAATTATATTTAGATACAAATTACATACTGATGAAATATGAATAATATTTTTGATCTCATTGACATAATAGAAAAAACTGAACTGATTATTTGAATGAAAAATCATGAGTGCAATTAGTGTAATTAAAATTTTCTTGTTTCTAAAATAAATACTAAAAAAGGGCTCGAAATAATAGAGTTTCTCAGAAAAGAAGGGAACTTCGAACGTCGGACCAAAGACGGTCTCGAACCAGGGTACTACGATTTCGGGACCACCCGATATCCCATTTGAGCTATTACAATCGTTAACACATTGTCAAAATTTACCTTCTTATATTGTAGCCGTTTTTCATTGCCTAAAAACATGGATAAAACGACATTTTCTAAAAATGAGTCTTATCTAGATCGATTTATTGCCCCCGAAACCCCCTGCATACTAAATTTCCGCCGTTTCCGAGATTCCGATTATAAATATATACAAGAATTGCTCGTTTAAAGGTATTGGATAAGACTAAGAATAAAAAAGGGCAAGTATCATCCCTTAGAGGCACCCATTTTAAGTGAACCGTTGAGGTTTACTGGACAATCTCAACTGTTGCTGAAAACTCAGTACTATTTGCCATTTTCAAGTTAAAGGCGGCCAAATCGACACCAAGATAGAAGCCGCTTTTGAAACAAAAATCCAGAGGTATCCTGTGATGTACAGTTTTCTGACTTTGAAGTTTCTCATTTCTATAGATTACTTTTAGGAAGGCGTGTCAATTTTACAATCTATATCTTTTTCCCATTCACTAAAAGGTCACTGAATCTTACATCTTTTCTTGACATTTCGAGAACGAGCATTAACCATTTAACAACATTGCTTTTGGAAAGCACGGCCAAGCATGGGAATTCCTTACTGGCGACAGTTTCTCCAGGCTAATATAACGTTGGTCTTTACAAGGCTCGAGTGAATATTCTTTCCTAGGCTAAACTGTTTGTTAGCACTTGCAGTTTAACGTGTTTTCGATATGTTTTCTATATTCCTACTGCTAGTGGTCAAATTTTTGCCACAAACTACTAGCAGTATTGCTATGAAACAAAATGGTGGTTAAAAATGATTTTTTTACAAACCAATTTATCACGTTTAAAGTACTTAAAGGAACAAAAAATTATTGTTTTGCTTTTATTTTACGAACAGATACCGGAGTTCGACTGGAGTTCTCAGACCAAGGGACTCGTGCTGAGTTCGTTCTTCTACGGGTACCTGGTGACACAGCTCCCGGGTGGCTGGCTTGCTGCTAAAATAGGAGGTAACAGGTTCGTTCCATTCTATAAAACACAAGATAACTGCACTATAAAAACGCGTTTTTTTTTTTTGCTTTTTTTTCTTATCTGTTATTTTGGAGGTAGATGAAAATTCTAATTTAAGACTGTTTTGGGTAATTTAAAAACATATTCAAAAAATCTTGAAGACTGATGCAAATTCAGAAAAAGTTACATTTGTTGAAAACAAGCGTATTGTTACTTGCTGAGCCGAACATGCGAACATGGTGATGAATTCAAATGCAATGGAAGTTTTTACTGCAATAATTTAATCTAGAGTCTAGAGTTGAATCTAGTATCTATAGTAATAATATTTTTAATATGGTTTTTCGTCATATTCCACAGCCCGTATAACGAGTCAGCACTATGCGCCTAGCACGCACCTTCCCGTATAACGTGTCAGCACTATGCGCGTAGTTCGCACCGTACCCGTATAACGTCTCAACACTACGCGCGTAGCTCGCATCTTACTCTTATAACGAATCAGTACTATTCACGTAGCTCGCACCTTATTAAAGAATTTTTTGTTTTACCGTTACCACTACCATTACAGTCTATTTAAGTCCATTGCTGCAGTGGCGAAGCTTCCACTAAAGCCGAGAAGCCGGGCTTGCCTTATTAAACCTGAATCAATCAATAATATCAACTAATAAAATAACTCGTAAAATGTTTCAAGCTATTTCAAATTTCCCGCGCACTCCACTGTTCGACACATGTCGACCGATGACCTCGTATTGCCTTAGCGATACTGCTGCTGTCATAAAAAATGAGTTTTAATAGAGCTAATAGTTGTCTCCCTCGCTCGCGTGGGCTTTTTACGGGGCTTTCGAGAAGACGATCGCTCTCTTTCTAACCTATGGCAAAATATTCTATAATGAAATAACTACGATTGTATATATAGCAATTAGTATAGAGATTTAAAGCCAGGCTTTTAGGAATAAATTTGTTAAAAGCGGAGGAGCGCGGCCAATACGTTTGCAATTTCATTTCACGTTTCAATGTTTATTTACTCTGTGTGCTTATCCTAAGCGATTTAATATTACGAGTTCAAAATTTATGCTTTTTAAAGATTTTTAATGAAAATGGAGGATAATAGTGTTCCTTGTGATGAATTGAAGTGTGTTAAAGTGATAATCGGAGAGGAAATCTTTAAACTTTGTTGAGGTTAAGAGTGTATTTCAGACTTATCAATTATCGCAATTAAAAACAGTTATTGGTACAATTAAAACGTTCACCAACATTTTACGTGGACGTAATTAAATCTTTCCATAAGAAAGCGAGACGATTCCACTTATCTTATCTTATCTCTTATCCATTAGAATGTAAATAAGTTGTTTTTTTTTTTAATTTTGTACATTGTTTGTACTTTGTTCGTGTTTTACTTTTGTTCATGTATTGTATTGGATGTAAATATTTTTTTTCTTTCGCTTAAACAAACCCAAACGGCTTTCTTCAAAGCCACCGAAGCTATGCAATTGCTGATATGTAATACAATCTATCTAGCAGTGGTATGCCTTCTATGTGCTTTGTTAAACACGACCCTGACAACACTGAATATGAAACTGAAGCGTGGAGACAGATCAAGAATGGTGTATTTTTATAAAACTGCTAAAAACAACAATCTATATTTTTATCAATTTATATCTTGGGCTTGTCCTAGCTTGGAGCTCTAGCTTCGCCACTGCATTGCTGAACATAGGCTTTGCCCATAGATTGTATCATGGGGGGGAGAATATTTACCTTGGTTTCCACTGTTGGCATTCGGATTGGCAACCGCAATTTTTAATTACCTCCAAACGAGATTCCCGTTATAATTGGTCCACCTTAATAATTGGTGACCAGCGTTAACAGGCCTACTCTGTCTCAGTAGCAGTGCAGGGCTTGATGGTGCACGAGTGTGTGCAAGCACAGGTGCACTCTCCATTCCCTCAATCTCGTAATCTGATGAGAAGGCTATCCGACCCGATCAGAGACATCAGACGCAGGAGTAACGACTTTACGTACTTACCGAGGCAAGGGAGTTAAACACCGCCAACCTCCAGAACCCGAGCTGCTGCTGAAATCTTATTAACAGAAAAACCCAATTATACTGATATTGGCCCAACGCGGGATACAATCCCGAGACCACATGATCAGTCGTGCTTACTACCACAAGACCAATAAAGCAGACAAACCAGCGTAAAGCAGCAGTATAATGATGGTGTGTTTCATATGGTGAGTGACGAAAACCTGAGACCTTTTTACTGATGACGAGGCCTCTATCCTTAGGCTTCTATCTTAGTCCTCAAGTGTCTGCGTTTTGATTCTAAATCGAGAAAAGATATGTCTGTGGGCCGCAGCATCCACTTAACAACAGGTGGAGTATGTGCTCTGCTATTCATTCTTTTATTTATTATTTCTTTAAAAGAGCTAAAATGATATTTATTTCTTTACAGGGTATTTGCAATAGGCATTGGCGCCACTTCTCTGCTGACCCTCTTTACTCCACCCTTAGCGCACATCAGCACTGGCCTGTTAATCGCTGTCAGAGTCGTCGAAGGACTTTTCGAGGTTTGCATTTTAATATTTTTATACCATCATCAGCTTGTTTTTGGGGTTATCTAATAATAAACTAACGTACTAACTGATTTTTGAAAGGCGTATAAGTGACAGCAATATTAAACGCTTTATCAAAAGTTTAGAGGATACAATATTGTGGTACTGGTGTTTCTCAGCTTTCGCGAAACGCACTAAAGAAAACTTATGGAGTTTCTTCCACCGCTTATGTTGACGCATGATCGTATAGTAAATTTTATAAGGTCGTAACAATGTTGCGTGTATAAGAAAATACCTGCACAAATATGTCTGCCATAACTATTTTACCTTTAATTTATAACATTATAATGATTAATGAGTATGATAGCCAAATAAACACTACAGAACACCTGCACCTTGCTGCCTCTCCATGAATAAAGAAAGGTACAGGTGCTAAGCTACTACTCCTGAAGATTGCGACTGAAATTGAATAGATATTGATGAAAATTACTTTTACGGATTTTATCGCATTTAATTTATTTTATTTTTAATACACGACGATACGGCTGCTTTCCAGAAACCATGGTCATGGGGGACTGAGGTGACTGACGTACCGATATTAATGTTAACCCGGAATACCTTCAGCTTTTTAACTTTGTTTTTGGTCCGATCTACGCAGAATGAACTTACTGTGTTTAATTAAAGTTTAATTAAAAAGCTGAAGGTACTCCGGGTTAACATTGACATCGGGACATTAATCACCTAAGGCCCCCGTGACCATGGGTGCTGGAAAACATCCGAAACATTGGGTATTAAAATAAAATAAATTAAACGGGATAAAATCCGTAAAAGTAGTTTCAATCAATAAGTAGTATTCGCGTAAATATAAGAAATCATTAGATATTGATATTATAATTTTTGTTTAATGTTTACGTGGTAGAACCAAGCTGTAGCTATATTATATTTGTAGCACGAATGGGTCGGCTCGACCGGGGCAGGACCACGCTCTCACAGAACACCGGCGTAAAATAGCAGCGTAATACTGCTGTGTTCCGTATGGTGAGTATACAGAACCGGAGACCCTTTTAACTGTAATCGAGGCATTCTATCTTAGTCCTCAGGTACGCATTTGCAGCTTTTTTTCTTAATTGAGGATAAATGTGGATGTCTATGGGCCACAGCGTCCACTTACTATCAGGTGGACTGTGTGCTCGTTTGTCACCCAATGTTATAAAAAAATGTACCTACATTACAAGTAATAGTTAGCGAATGTCTTGCTTTTAACATTGGTTCGCAAAAAGCCTTTGTCCTGGGAAGAACCTGCAAAATGCCACAAGGTCCGCTTTTATCTTGGCTTCGTTACTTGAAACTAGGCCAGCAGGCAAATTAGTGATTACTCCTTAAATATAATGTTCTGGATAAGTGTGGAGGAAAACAGAAGAAAGTTCTAAACACCTTGTTCCAGATAAAAAAATTCTTGATGACAGATAAAATGTAACCAGTCAATACAATCTGTAACAGTACGATACCTGGATTTTTATGTGAATCAGAATATGAAAAATTTACTCATAAAATAGAATATAGGGGTAGGATGCTTTCTCGGAGAGTGATTCTTCTGTTAACATCTAACAGTGACAAACACCGTGTAACAATTTCCTATACCAGGGAATCAAATAAATGTATATATATATATATATATATATATATATATATATATATATATATACACATTTATATATATATATATATATATATATCATTATGATTCCCTATATATTCTGTCCATGTGTAGGTATATGACTGAACTCCTCCTAAACGGCTGGACTGGTTTTGATGCGATTTTGTTGTCATTAAGTGGACTCGAGAATAGTTTAGATTGACAATTAGGCCTTGTAGGAAGTGCTGTTATCGAAATATTTAAACCACCAGTGCAAAACCGGGGTGAGTCGTTAGTGTACCTGTCAAGTGCTAAAATTAAATATTTTGTATAACCAACTTCGATGCAATTACTAATTAATGTCAATTAATGATTAAAAAATAGTAAAATAAAATATAAAAAAATTAGTAAAATAAATAAACAAATAGTCCGACTAGGTAAGTCCAACTTCGACCGAGAGGTCAATCGACGGATTCAACTCGGCTGGGCAGCGTTCGGGAAATTTTTTTTTTTTTTATAGAAGAGGGGGGCAAACGAGCATGTGGCTCACCTGATGTTAAGTGACTACCGCCGCCCATGATCAACCGCAACACCAGGGGAATTGCAGGTGCGTTGCCGGTCCTTTAGAAAGGAGTAAGCTCTTTTCTTGAAGGTCCCCAGGTCGTATCGGTCCGGAAAAATCACCGGTGGTAAATTATTCCACAGAGAGGTTGTACGCGGAAGAAAACTCCTTTTGAAACGTACAGTGGTGGACCGCCAGGCATCCAGATGGTGTGGATGGTATCGGGACGTTTGCCGTGTAGTGCGTTCACGAAATTTGGCGGCTGGGATTAATCCGAACAATTCCTCAGAGCACTCCCCGTGATAGATGCGATAAAATACGCAAAAAGATGCAACATCTCTTCGCAGCGCCAGTGAGTCGAGCCGATCGGAAAGCACTCGGTCGTCGACGATTCGAGCCGCTCTGCGCTGGATGCGGTCAAGTGGAAGGAGCTGGTACTGGGGAGCCCCAGCCCAGAGATGGGAACAGTATTCCATGAGCGGCCGAACCTGCGCCTTGTAAAGTTGCAGGCGGTGTGCCGGTATGAAATACTGTCCCGCTCTGCTGAGCACGCCAAGCTTTTTAGAGGCCAATTTGGCCTTCCCTTCCAAGTGACCACGAAACTGCACGTCACTCGATATGTCGACGCCGAGGATTCCGATACTGGCTGAGGCAACAAGGGGAGTGCCTTGAAACTGAGGGGATACGACAAAGGGGTTCTTTTTAGCGGTTAACGCGCAAACTTGTGTCTTCTGGGGGTTAAACTGGACTAGATTTAGTCGCCCCCCAATCCGAGACTCTGTCCAGCAGAGACTCGACTTCAGACACAAGTTTGTCCCGGCACTCAGAGACGTTTTCCCGAGAAATATTGGCTCGGCCGGTGTAAAGAGCATCACCAGTGCTGTCATCTGCATAGCAATGAATGCTACGGGTTTGCAACATATCATTGATATGCAGAAGAAACAGCGTTGGCGATAGCACACAGCCCTGTGGAACACCAGCATTAATAAGCTTGCAATCGGAGCTTGCACCGTCTACAACGACCTTGATGCTCCGATCTGCAAGAAAACTGGTGATCCAATCGCACAATTTCTCGGGAAGCCCATAGGAAGGGAGCTTCGAAAGAAGCGCTTTGTGCCAAACCCGATCGAAGGCCTTCGCAATGTCCAAACTAACGGCCAATGCCTCCCCCTTGGACTCTACTGCCTCCGCCCATCTGTGAGTTAGGTAGACCAGAAGATCACCAGCTGACCTACCACGGCGAAAACCGTATTGGCGGTCACTAATCAGCTGGTGATCCTCAAGGTACCTCATGAGCTGGCAGTTTACAATGGACTCCATTGTTTTGGAGAACAAGGAGGTGATGGCGATAGGCCGGTAGTTGGACGGGTCTGAGCGGTCGCCTTTTTTAGGGATCGGGTGGACGAAAGCCGTCTTCCATGATTTTGGGACTACGCCTAGGGAGTAGGAGTACCGGAAAAGACGCGTTAAAACCGGTGCCAACTCTGGAGCACACGTCCTCAGCACAATTGGGGGGATTCCATCAGGCCCACTCGACTTATAGATGTCCAGGAAGAGGAGTGCTTTGCGAACCGAGCGCTGAGTGAACTGCACTTCCGGCATGGAGCACTCACACCGCGGGATGGTCGGTGGCGTACTCCCCCCGTCATCGAGAGTCGAGTTAGACGCAAAGAAAGAGCCTAGAAGATCGGCTTTCTCCTTTGCGGTGTGGGCCAGTGAGTCGTCCTCCCTGTGCAGAGATGGAAGAGATGGCTGACAGAAATTCCCCTGGACAGCCTTGGCGAGAGACCAGAATGCACGGGTTCCAGAAGGAAGACGAACTAGTCTCTCGCCAATTCTGCCTATGTGCTCTGACTTTGCCTTGGCAATGACTCTTTTGAAGGACCTAGAGGCGGAATTATACTTCTTTTTTAGAGCGCTGGTGTTTACATCCCTGGACGCTGAAGCGTCAGCCCAGGCTCGGTAGCACTCCTGTTTATAGCATGATGCTATTTTACAGGAGCGACCAAACCATGGCTGAGATTTGCCTCCAATGGGCACCACAGAGGAAGGAATAAAAAGTTCCATACCCTGAAGTACCACATCAGCGACAGAATCCGCAACAACGTTGGGATCATCCGGCGAGAAGCAAACCCGCCCCCAAGGGTAGGATGCAAAGAAAGACCGCATCCCATCCCAATCGGCTGACCTATAGTGCCAAACACGGCGGCAGCCTGCAGAATGCAACCGCGATTTCAGCGTGAGTGGCACCACACTCCGGACAAGACAATGGTCCGAGGAGCCTAAAGGGGCGTCGACGGAAATCTGATATCCGTCCGGGTGAGAGGTCAGCAGAAGGTCCAACAGGGAAGGTGCATGATCCTCCACATCTGGAATCCGCGTAGGCGAAGTAACCAGTTGTGTCAGACCATATGCCAAGGCAAAATCATGAACAGATCTCCCCGCATGATCGGTTAAACGTGAACCGAGCCATTCGGCGTGATGGGCGTTAAAGTCGCCGAGGATCACGATCTCTGCGGAGGGGATCTTACGTAATTACGACACATCTTCTCGTCAGGTATACCTCAATCTCTGAAAACTAAAGTGTACAACCAGTGCGTGTTGCCAGTGATGACTTACGGATCAGAGACGTGGTCCTTCACTGCTGGCCGTATGAGGACGCTCAAGGTCGCTCAGCGAGCTATGGAGAGGGCTATGCTCGGAGTTTCTCTGCGTGATAGACTCAGAAATGAGGATATCCGCAGTAAAACCAGAGTGACCGACATAGCCCAACGGATTAATAAGCTGAAGTGGCAATGGGCCGGCCATATAGCTCGAAGAACCGATAACCGATGGGGAAGAAAGGTTCTCGAGTGGCAGCCTCGTACCGGTAGGCGTAGTGTAGGGCGACCCCCCACTAGATGGAGTGACGACCTGGTAAGATATGCAGGAAGTCGATGGATGCAGGTGGCTCAGGACCGTGCTTTGTGGCATTACTTGGGGGAGGCCTATGTTCAGCAGTGGACTTGTGAAGGGCTGTGATGATGATGATGATGATGATGAATGATTAAAAATACTCAGTACTAAAGATTACTCAAATACTACTACCGGTCAGATCTTGATTAACTTTATATGGGAACACACGAGAAGTACCAGCTTTCAGATAAAAAAAGAATCATCAAAATCGATTCACCCAGAGAAAGGTTTTTTTTTATAGGATAGGGTGACAAACGAGCTCACAGTCCACCTGATGCAGTTATGAGGTACACATAAAAAAATATACAGTTGTACTCCTTTTTAAAGTGGGTAAAAGAATTAAGTTACTGTGTCACAGGGCGTGACGTACCCCTGCATCCACGCGGTGTGGGCGCGCTGGGCACCGGGCGGCGAGCGCGCGCGCCTGGCCACGTTCGCGTTCAGCGGCAGCTACGCCGGCACCGTCGTGTCCATGCCGCTCTGCTCCCTGCTCGCGCACTACACCGGCTGGCCTGGCATTTTCTACGTTTTCGGTAAGATATTTCCTTCTTCTTCAGACAGCTTAGTATCCATAAAAGTCTGTGATATCACAGTGTCGACCGTGGAAAATCAGGAAATTCGCTCATTAATAAAACTAACTAACAAGGTGAAAACGTAACCAGTATGTATTTACAGAATTATGATTATTATAATCATCAATACACCCTCTAACTTCGTATAATTCCATTCTATGACTATTTCCAGAAAAACTCATTCTAAGGAATTATATGTACTTAAGGGTTGTACTGGTAATTTTAGTGATACCTAATAATTCTGTAAACACATATTTGTTACGGCCGCGAGTTATATTTTCTTAAAAATACAATCTTTCACTGACCTGTAAATTGTAAGAAAATTTGAATTGCGCTGGCTACTCTGGCGCTTTCACCTTAACGGTTCCCAATGCGTAAAATTTGACCTAACACTTTCAGTAAAATTGTTAGTAAATATAAAAGTTAACGTTTCTTTCTAAAATATTTATTATATTTTATATTAATTTAAATTAAAATCCATAAACCAAACTACACATATTCTTAAATGTAAAACAATTAAAAATAGAGTTAAAAATGTGTAAATAATCAAAGTGCAATCCATCGTTTTATAAGTGCATACAATAGACATAAACCAAATATTTTACTTGAAATTCAACTATTCATCTATTTTATACGTGGTAGAGCCACACTGTAGCTATATTATGGTTGTAGCTCGACCGGGGAAGGACCAAGCCCTTACAGAATATCAGCGTAAAATAGCAGCTTTTAATATTACTCTATTTCGTACGGTGAGTGTAGAGATCCGGAGACCCGTTTTACTAGAAACGAGGCATTATATCTTCCTCCTAGTCCTCAGGCGTGACAACGCATCTTCTGCTCTTGATTCTTAATCGAGAATAAATATAGATGTCTATGGACCACAGCATCCACTTTCCATCAGATGGACTGTGTGTTCGTTTGTCACGCTTATACTATAAAAAAAAGTTAAACTATTAGGAAATATAAATATTTACGTTTCTTTCTAAAATATTTGTTATATTTTATATCAAATGAAATTAAAACACGTGAACCAAACTACGCATATTCATAAATATGAAATGATTAAAAAGAGAATTAAAAAAAAACGAAACGAAATACTCTTATTTTTGAAACGCAACTACTCGTGTATAATGTGACACTATTAATACGTGGTAGAGCCAGGCTGCAGCTATATTATGGTTGTAGCACGAATGAGTCAGCTCGACTGGGGACGGACCACGCTCTCACAGGATACCAGCATAAAATACCAGCTTAAATACTGCTGTTTCGGATGGTGAGTGTAGAGATCCGGAGACCCTTTTTTACTGGAAACGAGGCATTCCATCTTAGTCCTCAAGGGTGACATCACATCTGCGTTTTGATACTTAATCGACGATAGATGTAGATGTCTATGGATCACAGCATATACTAACCATCAGGTGTATAAAAAAATTTAAATTTTTGGGAAATATGAAAGTCAACGTTTCTTTCTAAAATGTTTGTTATATGATATATTAAATAAAATTAAAATGCGTGAACCAAATTGCGCATATTCATAAATGTAAAATAATTAAAAAGAGAATTAAAAATGTGTAAAAAATTAAAGTGCAATCACTAGAATATCGTTCTATATTCTATGCAATAGAAACGAAAAACTTTTTTTAAACGCAACTACTCATCTATAATGTGACACTGTGTAACCAATAACTACACCTCTGTCCCAACTAACGAACTCTTGTGAGGTAAAAATTATCAGTCGTCATAGTTCGCGGTGTAAATATATAATTTTTGTGATAGTAGGGCTTGGTTTTCTATTGCTGCTATTTCTTTAAGTTTTATATATACACAGACGCATACAAAGCAGATGTTTCAAAATGGGCCAGATCTAAGTACACTACCTCAAAAAAAGAGAAAAATCTGTACAAATCGGAGAAATACAGATAATTCATTTAAATATACCTTATCGTGGTAAACAATTGATGTTTATCAATTATTTTTATCGACTTTCAACATAGCGTCTCACCGATTTAGTTACTTTGTGCTTATAGACAATGGGTGCGTTTGGCAGAAAAAAGCGCTTGCAAGCGCTTGTAAGCAAAATGGCGATCGTAAGCGGTAAGCGCTGTTAAATCGTAAATAGCTATTTTCCTCCAGGACACGATGTTAGTTTTAACCGGGGAATCTAACCTAATTTAAATATATGTTTGTAAAGTATTCATATTAAAAAATACCAATCATGAGTTTTTAATAGCATGTATATGTTTATTCATGTCATATATTACTTAAAACTAATATTGCACAAAACAACTTATAAACTCTACTTCAAAACAAACAAATTAAATAAGCAAAATGGCGGATTGTGTCAGCGCTACTGAAGTAGCAATCGTGTTCTGGCCGAAAACTATTTTAGCGCTTATAAGCGCTTGCTAGCGCTTTTTTCTGCCAAACGCACCCAATGACAGTATACTATAAAACGGCCATTGATCATAGGAAGAGAACGGTCAGTTGTCACAACAGTGTCAAAAATACGTGAAATAAACATGTCAAACGTGACTAATCTATAAAAATAACAGCTGGCTGATATGACTGGTTTTTGTGTGTGTGTGTTGCAATTTTAAGTGTAATTTTCTTTGCTTTACCAGCAAACAAAGCCATTATGAAATAATTGGACAGTTAAGAACTGTTTAAAATGTTTTTTCCTATTTTTGAGTATATAAAACATACGGAGCCTGGGCCAGGTCTGAACAAGGACCTGGCCCAGGCTCCGTATATTTTGGAACATTTCATTTATTATGTTTTTTATATATATTTGTTGATTATATGACCTTGAATTGCATGAAAAGATAACAAGATAGCGTGTAATTTTCTCGATAGAAAAATAATGTGAAGTAAGCTCTTATTAGCAAACGTGTAAAGTCCCCTTATACAAATTGAGACACTTGCGTGTTTTAAAACCATCTCAGTAAATACGACGTAAGTACACTTTTGGTTACTTTATTTTTGATTTTACTATTTTCACATCTTCAGGTATCGTGGGACTGGTGTGGACGACGATATGGTGGCTAGTGGTGAAGGAATCACCTGAGAAGGATCCACACATATCTGCGGCTGAACTCAAATACATACAGGTAAGGAATATTATCACCTGAGTGTCGCAAGAGGTGACAGATGGAAATTAGGGGGACAGCAGTCTCAACTCAATAGTAAAGACTGAATTGCGAGCCCACCAACCGTACCAACTATGAATAATATCACCTCTATGAAACAAACTATTTATTTAGTTAGTTATGAATGCATGACTCTCACAAGAGGCAGCAAAGGGAAGTGAAACAAAACATGTGCAGTAGCATCTCCCTCATAACAACTTAATAATAATATAATTATTATAATTTTTTACGTGGTAGAGCCACGCTGCAGCTATATTATGGTTGCAGCATGAATGTGTTCGCTCGACCGGGGCAGCACTCTCTCACAGAATACCAGCGTAAAATAACAGCTTAATACTGTACAGTGTTTCGTATGTTGAGTGTAGAGATCCGGAGACCCTTTTTTACTGGAAACGAGGCATTCCATTTTAGTCCTCCGGGGTGACAACGCATCTGCGTTTTGATTCTTAATCGTTGTAAATATAGGCTATATGGGAGACTTATGTTTAGACTTTTGATAAGCTGTAATAAATGAATGAATAAATGAGAAGTTTTTTTTTTATTTATTGATGTAAGTTAAAATAAGCAAAACATGTACCTACACATTGTAATATCATAGTTTAAAGAGAGATCTTTAAACTGTGGGTAGATATTGACGAAACGAAAAGAGCAGCGTTTCTCCCATCTTCATCGACTGGTCTAAACTATTTCAATATATTTTTTACGCTCTCGCTTATCCCCCTAACCTTTCTAGCTGCGCCATCTTAGGATACACCCTAAAGGAAAAGTCAGGCCTTGCCTATCAGCCTATGACCGCTTTGTCTTAAGATTTGGCCGATTCCATTGTATTGTTAGATTGTTACTTACGGTGTTTGTTGACAAAAACGTAAAAAATTCTTCACATATTATATGTCCCGTCGTACGTAACGTCGTAGGTTTTTTTTGTATAAAGTAAGTCATTTCCGAGTGTAATCAGTCGCAATGATATTTTTAAATTTAATTAGATAAGTTTTTTTTTGTTATCATTTACTTTATTTTCGGCCAAACTTATCACTTTATGCGCTTTTTTCGATTACTTAATGCGCTAGTGTAAACAATTTATGATATGTTATAATAAACATATCATAAATAATGCAGCTCTTATGAATTCACTCACAGTACATACGAACATGTCTACTTCATCACGTATAAGGTTAAGTAGTGTGGTGGCGCATGTGCGCAAAGCCTCCTTCCCTCAGCAAGTTGATGCAGCCGCGCGGCGCCGCCAGCTTAGCATAGGTTAGAACATTCTAGGCTAATCTGGCTTACTGCAAGCAACATTTGCTTTTTTTAATCTAAAACTTGTGAACCATAGTGAAGATCAACTAGTCCAAAAGAAAAAAGACTTTATATCCACAATAGTTGGGTTGCATATTGCTTGTACTATACTTACGTTCATACAGTTTGACAAGAAACGTTAAAATCCAATTTTCAATATTCATATTTATTTATACGTGTTGTCATAACTTTTGGTAATGTATGTTTATTATAGGATTCCCGAGGGACACAGTTTGTGGAGGGATCTAAAATTCGACATCCATGGCGTGCAATGTTGACATCTGGCCCTGTGTGGGCGATTGTGATGGCACATTTCAGCGAAAACTGGGGCTTTTACACACTTCTGACTTTCCTACCGACATTTATGCAAGGTAACAACCATCTTTACCATTCTTACTCCCTCACAAAACCAGCTTATAATTTAATTTGTTTTTACTTTTTAATGAACAGATTATATTGAATATAAATACATATTGCTTCCAGATCTCAATAAATAATATCCTTGTTTTAAATTAATAACTTTGTCACTATATCCTTCAGTCTTCAGTAGATGTTGTTAGACGCGACTCTAAGGAAGACCTGGAAGATCGAATGGCCATGACCTGTCAATTACGAGGCTCATGTTCAGCTTTTTATTAAGGAGTTGTTATATTCGTCACTTCTAAAAGTTGGATTGGCGTTTTCAGAACCAATCGTCTCATACCTTTGACCATGGAGTGTAGAGGTGAGGAGAACCGCCTCTGTGTATTAAAAAGTGTCAGTAGCAAAGCGTTAAATAAGGGTGGCGCCACTGTAGCTAGACGGTAAATTTTAAAGAACTTTTTATAGCTTTTAATTATACAAACCTTTACCATAATTCTTTTTTATAATAATTATTTTATTGTTTTCAAAATTTTTATTTTCAAAATCACTCTTAACGTGTTTCATGGCGACTTTTATTATAGTCAACCAAATCTAATAAATACCTTTTGACGTTTCAAGTTAATCATTCCGCAATAAATTTAAACAAGCCTACTCACACGGTTTAAAATAACCATTTACGTAAATCCGGAGAATTGTAAAGTTATCTATATTTTATTACAGCGTGTATAGTTTTTTATCACTAATTTAAATTTGAATCTTTCAAACAAAGCAAAATATTAAAAAATAACCAGATCAACTTTTAGTACTTGACGTCGGTTCAATGATATGTCGCTATGTACATTACCTTGGTTACCATGGTTCTCCTTAACTCTACACTCCATGCATGGAGTATAGAGTTAAGGAGGACAATCTTCATACATAGCAGTAACAGTAACAGTTCAAAAACTCTCTACAACAGCGCTCGAGTAGCTGCAGGGTATGGTGATGATATGGTAAGGTATAGGGATGATAAATCGCCGTAAAATACGTTGAGAGTGATTTTGAAAACAAAATTTTGAAAGCAATAAAATAATTATTGTAAAAAGAATAATGGTGAACGTCTGTACACTAAAAAAATTATAAAAAGTTATTTCAAATTTAGACTGTAGCTATAGTGGTGACACCCTTATTTAGCACTTTGCTACGGATACTTTTTTATACAGAGTCTGTACTCCTCATGCCTTTGACACTGTTACTCATGAAGGTTGGAGAACAGGAGAACGATCACTACGTACTAAAGCATAGCCCGCCTGTCCTTGAAAATTGTAGAATACATAGCGGCGATGACGTCCGTGAGTAGAGACTGCGAAGTTAGCTTTGAAATAATACTAGTTTTTACGGAATTTATCGCGTATTTTTAACTTTTTAACACAGAAGTCTGCAGTCTGTGAACACGTACAGGATCGCCCCCGTCACTACATCAGATTTGATAGACCGCAGATCCTCGCTAAAGAACACCGATTCCTTCCAAGGATGATTCGCGAGGCTATTGAAATCAAAAAACATCCTAATTTCAATAGAGAAGATGGCTGGGTGCTACCATCTGCTTGGGATCTTATAATAAATAAAATTAAATCCCAACCCAAGCATACAACTGCAAGACTCCATGATACCATAAGTTCATACTGCATAGATCGGAACAAAAGTTAAATTTTAATCTATGGTAACCGCGGTTAACTATGACAGCTGGACGTTGAACATCTCAGTCCTTGCCGTGACCATGGGTGCTGTAAAGCTCTCGAAACGTTGGGTATTTAAAAAGTTAAATATACGCGATAAATTCCGTAAAAACTAGTATTATTGCAATGTGTAGTGTCGCGTAAATATAAGAAATCATTATGCGAAGTTAGCTGTTTATGAGTACAAGTAGATGAAGTTAGTTGAATAATGTACAAATTTTCTCCGCGGCATTAGTGAGAAATTTTTCATGCTCCGTAATTTTGTAATTTTTGACAAAAAGAAACATTAAAAAAATAGAGAAATATTTTATTGTGCGTGGATGTGCAAATGGTTTAGCATCTGATCGGAAAAATAGACTTGATGACTTTTATTGACCCAACTGAGCGATCGCAGCTCCTCACTTATGGTGTCTATATTTCACACTGTGACACTATTTTCTACGGCGATCGTTCTCCTGTTCTCTAACCTTCATGCTATTACTCGTCGCCGGTCTGCATTATTTAAATCTGTGTGAAAGAGATATTTATAGCGCCATCTATCGGAACCTCTTACTGCACTTACCGAACTAATTGGTGTGATGGATTATCTTATGCTGCCACCACATGATAAAGGCTTAAAAATCTTACGCTCATCAGATGTCGCTAGGTCAGCGTTAGACTCACTGAGGTTAACTTACATGTTACTCAGACTGAAATAAAAGTTTTTCGATTTCTAGTGTATGGTATATACACAAAACAATGCACCTGTGTTGCGATCTTTAATTTTTACACATTTTTTTTACTTTTAATGGTATAGTACTACTTTTATTGGTATGTTTATCCATTTCTAATGTAGTTAATACGAAATATAACTAACATTTATATGTAATCGAATCATTTCAATTATTAGATATGCAGATTTCCTCACTACGTTTACCTTCACCGACGAAATCGTGTTAAATCAGCACTTAAAAATATAATTAGTGCCGATGGAGACCGATCCAGGTTTGCTTGCGTACTTGGATGCTTTCAGCGAGTAATTAGCGTCAGTAATAACACGACTATTGAACATATTTAATTTTATTTGCAGACGTGTTCAAGTTTGAGACATCGCAAACGGGCTGGCTATCTGCGGTACCGTACCTCGCCATGGCGATAGTGCTTCAGTTTGCGGGACACTTGGCCGACTGGCTGTTGAAGAAAGGAATCCTGTCGCGGACGAACATAAGAAAAATCTTCAACTGTGGTGCGTTTTTATCGCAGGTGAGAAATGTCTGAGCTTCGTGTAAATATGGCTGTTTGTAAGCTCAATTTATGCGGAAGAATGAAGTGCATGATCCTATAAAATTGTGATATAGGGGCTGCTCACTAAGTATAAGTGTTTATCGTATCAATTTCGTATCGCTATCGAGTAACATTGTTTGACGTCCGCTAGAGGTGCTGTTTATTTTTCCATACAATGTCAGTCGATTATATAATAAGATAAAAGTGTGATATGCAAGATGTCTTGACAAGGATGAAATGTATGTTTCGATTGCTTGGATACGTGAAAAGAGATAAGGATAGAGTGACAAAACAAATTTATACAGCAGAGTCGGTAAGGGATGACCTAAACGGAATTTTATCGACAAAATGGGCGATATGTTGAAGTTGTACCAAGTTAAAAGTTTCATGTTATATTTTAGTCGATCACGATGTGAAAACGTTAGTGCCAATAATTAGTGCTAAATTAATTTACCACGTGCTAAACGGTGAGGTTCCCTGCATGTTTGAAAAATTAAAATTATATAGAGGGCATGGGAAGTTATCAAGCATGCATTCCGGCTGCAGGTGGACTATTCCTTGCTCCACAAATCTTCGGAATTAAGAGGGCCTTTATTTGGCATGTATACATATTTATGTATATAGATACCTACATCTAACTGGGATTAAGAATCAAAGAGTAGAGTTGTTGTCCCCCATGAGATATAAGACATGCCTCGTTACCAAAAAAGGGTCTCCAGTTCTCTACAGTCACCGTACAAAACACAGCAGCATTGAGTTTCTATTTTATGCTGGTATTCTGTGAGAGCACCCCCGTCGAGCCGACCCATTCGTGCTGCAACCATAATATAGCTGTTGCGTGGACATCGGTTCAAAGACCGATCCGGTCTAAGATAATCCTTAGTGGATTTTCTTACGACTTACTCATGACTCTTACTTGAAAGAAAGAAAGAGATATTTATTTGGCCATTTCTTAACAAATTAGCACTAAATACTCAAAACAAACATTATGTTTAGGTATTCTTATAGGTAGACTTAATTATACACTTACAATGAAAAATAAATTATTTTGATAAAGCAGATAGATACAAAATACAGTAAAAATGTGAACAGCTAACTAAAAAAAACTTTTTTCAATGGAAATGGTCCAAATAGAACTGCCACTCAGGAAACGCTAAGATGTATCATCCTAGCCCTGATTTTCAGTGGCTACCTTAAGTACATTACATACATACACACAGATATAATACATATGTATACATATACATAGATATATATACACATACATACATAAATATATACATACGCATAACACACATACACACTTCACATATTTTCTATCACCCCTTAGATGTCGTAAGAGGCGACAGAGGGAATACATTTCCCTCGACTTACACGAGATGAGCAGCAGCATCTTTCTGATTAAAACTCAAAATAATAATAAAAACAGTGTCTGCAAACTCGCCTGCCAAGCGTGGCATACATGGTAAGTATCTCCTCTGTGGAACAATTTAGGAGCGAGGACTATGTTCGACAATGGATATTTAATAGGCAAGTGATGAATAATAATAATGATTTCTTAAATTTACGCGTACACTCACTGATAACTAAAATTCGTTAACTGATTTTACTTATTTTTAGCCCGGGATAACTATGAAATTGGGACTTCAAACATCTCAGTCCCCCCCGTGACCATGGGTGCTGTAAAGCACCCGAAACGTCGGGAATTAAAAATAAGTAAAATCAGTTAAATAAACGCTATAAAATCCGTAAACAGCTATTTTGTGACTTAATTGCAGACTATTTTCATGGTGGCGGCGGCGTACTCAACCTCAGTCGTGGGCTGCCTAGTTTTTCTTACTATTGCTGTGGGGTTGGGCGGATTTGCATGGTCCGGTTTCAGGTACCTACACGTTAATTAACTATTAATATTTAACTTTTATGTTCGTAGTTATAGTATTTCTATACAAGTAAAGGTGATAAGCGAGCGTAGACAGATGTAAGTATTAGTAAGTTGAGCATATTGTATCATCGGCTATGTAATACCGACATAGCTCAACGGATTAATAAGCTGAAATGCCAATGGCCGAGCCCAGTTGTTGGGAGTACTAAGCTCGAAGTTGTTGACGAATATCTTTACCTGCGACAAATAGTCCGACTAGGTAAGTCCAATTTCGATCGAGAGGTCAGCTGACGGATAATTAAACAGCGTTCGGGAACATTACAACACATCTTCGTCAGTTCGATATCAGCTGTAGCACAAGAGTAACCGACATCGCCCAACAGATTAGTAAGCTGAAGTGGCAATGAACCGGTCATGTAGGTCGAAGAAACGACAACCGATGGGGAAGAAAGCTTCTCGAGTGGCAGCCTCGTAGCGGTAGGCGAAACGTAGGGCGACCCCCCACTACATGGAGTGACGACCTGGTAAGACATGCAGGAAGTCGATGGATGCAGGTGGCTCAGGACCGTGCTTTGTGGCGTTACTTGGGGGAGGCCTATGTTCAGCAGTGGACTTGTGAAGGATTGTAATGATGATGATGATGATAATTTACTAGCGATCCACCCCGGCTTTGCTCGGGTGATTACTGGTTCTCGACAACAGCGCCACCTATTGGGTCCATTTGAGTTTTTAAACCATCCATCTATATGGCCGGCCCATTGCCACTTCAGCTTACTAATCCGTTGGGCTATGTCGGTCACTCTGGTTCTACTGCGGATATCCTCATTTCTAAGTTATTAAATTATAAACAATACTTATTAAAATCAATCCTATGTTCACTTTGCCACTGGTTCGGAATAAACCTCTGTCCTGGGAAGAACAAGCAAGAAACAGCGGGACTTTAAAAAAAAATTACTTATTCTAAAAAATATATTAATGCATTATAATAGCTTAAATATTTTTATAAGAACCGAGACATACACAGCAAGGATAACTTGTAAGCTTGCTGACGTATTCGTAAAACTAGTATGTAGTTGTTTGTCGCAAGTGTGTGTTTGTGCTTTTATAATATGTTGTTTTCGAAATTATATAGAAATAGAAAAATACAGTCCTTTATAACCTAAAGTTAAGCTTTAATAGTATAAAAAATAATAAAAAGTACAAGTGTTAAGTTGTTGAAGTTAAAAGTTTGAAAATTGGAACTTGTTACATAAGACGGAAAAGATAATCAATTTTACTTTTGACGGCCGTGATTAATGACTAAAAACGTGGCTAATTGTAGAAAATTGTTTAAATTAATCTTAAAAGAATTTTCAAACAGTAAGTTTATACCGTTTTTGACAGGAGATAATTAATTATAAAATTAAGTTTTAATTAATTATATACTTATGTCCTATAGCAAATATAAAAGGGAGGTCTACACATTTCCACTCCGGCTTTTAACCAAATTAAATGGAATCGGGGCATTCTGTCTTAGTCCTCAGGGTTGACAACGTATTTCCATTTTGATCCTTAGTTGAGGATAAATGTGGATGTCTATAGACCATAGCATCCACTTACCCTCAGTTCAACTGTTTGCTCCTTTGTCACCCAATGCTATGAAAAAAAAACTCAATTAACAACACAAAATAAAGTAGCTTAGTAGCGATTACCTCATTTCCAGGAGTTATTAGTTAGGAAGTTAACAATTGTAAAAAAAATCTGTGTATTTTTTTAATGTACTTATATTTAAAGTGAGTTTTTAATAGAACTATTCAAACTACATAACAATGTCGTTTGAAAAGTCTTTCACGATTGAGTTATTCATTAGACCACTCGAAAATTTCAAAAATGTACTTTGAATTAAAAGCAAATGCCAACTTCAAACAACTAAAAAGAATTACTAAAAAAATTATTTCATTTTCTAGCTAAGAACTATGATATAACTTTATCGTCCTCGTTTAAAAACATACATTTGTAATATTTTCAGCGTGAACCATTTGGACATCGCGCCTCCACACGCCAGCGTGCTTATGGGCCTCTCCAATACAGTAGCAACGTTGCCTGGTATCATAAGTCCTCCACTCGCCGGATCGATCGTCAAAAATAAGGTAATATCCTTCTTACCATATCCCTCTTTGCCTTCCCCCTAAGAGACCAGTGCAGAAGCGTAAGGATACGAATGGACCTCTCCCATTGAACTATTTACGAGTACCTTTAAAGCTAAGTTTAAGAACTTAGTGACCGCATCACTGTACTGCACTATACACACCTTCACTGATCACTGCAGCTTTTCCTATATTATTTAGTATTTTTATTTATAAATATTAATGAATTTTTTTTTTGTTTGTCAAATAATTCTAATTTCAAATTAATTTTATTTTAAAACATGTATTTCTTTTTTCTAAATGAGTAAGTAGGTTTTATTGATTAGCGTTATGTTTTCATCGCATTTGATTATTTTTCATCATCACGAAAAAATTCGAGTACTTATGGAATATGAGTACCGTCGTGGCAGCGAGCGCAAGCGGCACGCAATATCAACGACGTTTACGGAACGAATACAACTATATTATTTCTCTTTTAAATTGAAAAAATTTCCTAATTGCATATTCAAGTTAAAAAAGTGAAATGACAAGACGTGCCTTGCACTGCTCAACAGGCGCACAAACGAAGAAGATTTGAACCGCAGTTACCTGCGATGAAAAATGGATTCTGTTTGACAGTTGCAAGCGCTCAGCAAATTGGTTGGATTCTGGTTCAGAACCTAAACAATGCCCTTAACGAAGACTTCGTACGATAGTCACTGATTGGTGGTCTAGTGCCGGTGTGATTCATCACAACTTCTTATCAAACGGGATTAGCATTACTGCAGATATGTACTGTGAAGAACTGAACACAATGATGGAGAACCTCGCACGTCTCCAAACAGCTTTGGTCTATTTCTCGTCCCCGCTGCTCTTGCACGTCATACTGCACAACAGACGGTCTCTAAGTCACAAGAGCTGGGGTTAGAAGCTCTCCGTCATTTGCCGTACTCGCTAGACCTTGTGCCTGCGGACTTCTACTTTTTCCAGAATTTGGATAACTTTTTGGCGGGAAAAAGATTCAATACCCAAGAGGCATGTCTACGGGTCACAGCATCCACTTACCATCTTGTGTCTGTGTGCTCGTTTGTCACCCTTATTCTATAAAAAATAACGTACAGTCCACCTGATGACAAGTGGATGGTGTGGTCAATGAACCATCCATCTACCCTCGATTTAGAATCATAATGCAAACGCCTTCCACTCTCTCTTGAGGTTTAATTGATATTTTATCAATTAGACTTACCAATCGCTTCGTTACCAATGAAAAGCATATCCGGTTTTCTATTCATACTACATAATACTAGCAACATTATGCTGCTATTTCATGCTGGTATTCTGTCTCCGAGCGAACCATTCCATCTTAGTCGTTTTGATTCTAAATCGAGGCTCTACTCACCATCAATGAGACTGTACGCTCGTTTGTCATTTTTACTTCTGTAAAAAAGAACACACGTTTTCTTCTGCTGTGATACAAACTCAGGACCTGTTACATAGTAGCCTGTCAAACGCAGACATAATTTTAAACACCCGGTTTGGTTAAGTAAGCAAAGAAGCAAATAGCAATAGCAAACAGTAATAAGATATTTTGTACTCATAAAATATTTATATACTTAACATTATTTTTTTATTGTTTTCAGACAGCAGAGCAATGGCGAATAGTTTTTTTCATATCCAGCGCCATCTACCTCCTAGGTGCGATAGTGTACGGTTGGTTTTGTTCCGCTGAGAAACAGCCATGGGTCGTCGAAACGGATAGTGATGCTAGTTTTGATACAGATGGCGCTTCCGTCACAACAACCAGGGCTTATGATAATAAGGCCATGGATCATAGCGAAATGTAGATGAAGTATCGCCTCTCAAGTATGTTTGTAGAAATTAGTAGAGTCCGACCGAATTGTGCTTTCGGTTTTTATCGTTTTTTTTTAGATTATTTACGTTTTTGATCATAAATACCTTTTTCGCATCGAAAACAAAGTAGAGTAATTATCCATTTCAGTAGCTCAAATTTATGCAGACTGGCACAGTAATTTATTAGGAAAAAATTCAGAAAAGTTAGGTAATTGCATACAGTATAAGACTGTTAAAACTTATTTACTTCTATAATAAAAACTAAAATATATTACATGAAATGGCCTAATTTAATTACATTACGTATATAGGTGTAGTTCATTCATGTGTTGTAAAATTATTGATTTTTGAGTACACAATGTAATTTCTCCAAATTATTACCTACTTGTTTATTTCAACAAGTTGTTTGTTGGTTGATTAATGAAATTTTTAAACTAAATACGAATAAGCTATTTTAATTTCATTGTCATACAATAAACAATAATATAATTTACTTATAATAAACACTAGCTTTTATACAGTAATACATAGTAACATGAAATTTTTGTTTTAGTTTTTGTTTTCGACCGAAAATAAAGTTTTAATGCAGTTCTACTACATTTTGTTTTTCTTTCGGCCAAAACATTATTTATTTTCGGTTGGGCTCAAAAAATTTGTGACATAATGTATTACGCAGATATTTGCAGGTTTTAAAATACATTTCCTAAAATTTTGACTAAATAAGAATATATAGTTTAGGACAAGGCGTGAAATTTAATTTACTGCAGGAAATAATATTCGGCCTTATACGCGACAATTCTTGAATTACAAACAGTATTGACATCTGCAGTTAAATAAAAACCTTTTTCTTTTTTACAACGGCGATAGCTATTAGTATCTTGCCAATGTGAAAAATTATACTATAAGTCACAATTAGAGATATCGTTTTGTATAATTTAAAAAAAAATATATTTTATAAGTTATATTTTCTGATTGTTTATAACTGTAACACCGCTATGTTGCTTAACGAATTCAAATTATATAATTGTATAATATAAAGCAAAATTAGAGTGAAGGAAGACTTAAACAACACACATTATTTATGAGCTATGAGAATACTGTAGTCATGAGATTATTTTATTTCCGTCGGTTCTTATTACGTCTGCAAAATCTCATATTACTCAGGCGTTTGGAAGTGGGAAAAAATGAATCGGATGTGGTTATGCAAAAAGTATCAAATGCGCGGAAAGCTAATTTGAGATAATGATATTTGAAGTGTGGATCGGTATGGTTTCTTTTTTTTTTTTTTGTAATTTTGATTCTTATTTTACTTTAGCCAAAAATCAAAGGCCACAAACATTATTTTTCAACAAATTAGGGTTGGATAATTTTTACGTAACATATGTACAAACAGGTTAGTAAATATAAAGTGTACAAAATACCTCGTTTTAACATCATTGCCAATAGTTATTGGAGCACAAAAAATTAAAAAAATGTCCTAAATGTTATATTTTTAATATTTTGTAATAGTTATGTGTATAATAATATATTATTATGATAATATAATAAAAATATATTATATTGTAAGAATAATATATTATTATAATATTTCAATAATTAAATAATAATCCTTTATATTTGACAATGTGAAAACAAAAAAAGCTGTAAGTGTATATCCAGTGTATGCAACTTTTATAGCATTCCATGTACTTACTTTATATAAGGCCCGCCTCATACGGAATTCCGCCTCGAGATTCCGTTTCGGAATTCCGAATCGGTATTCCGAACGCAGCGAGTCTATATAAAATTAATGAACCGCCACACATGTACGGTATTTTTCCGTACGGAATTTCTCCGATTCGGGATTCCGTATGACCGTCTGTGCGTTCGGAATCCCGAACGGAAAAAAGCCGCTCCGAACGCAAGTGTTCCGTAGATTTTATATGAGTCGCAACACACATTCGTAAATTCCGTACGGAACGCGCCCAGTGTGGGTCGCACAACCGAAGCGAATGGGTGATCTAGTACATGGAGGATTATATTTTTCATAATGAAGAATACTTGTTTTCCGCATAGGGAAAGCAAGCGTAATAATTTCATATTACATAGTTTTCCAAAGACTGACTTGAGTGGGAGAAAAATGTAGCAGTTCAGTTTAAATAACTGCAGAAGTTCTTTGTCGGTTTTTTTTTTGTCAGTTTGTCACAGAAAGTCACTTAATACAGAAGATAGTTTTGTTTCTAGAGTATTATATTCATACACAAACAATGCCTCAGTGGTTTGGTTTATTTATTTTTTAATCTAATTAATATAAATATAACTAATAGTAATAAAACAAACATTAACCTTTACATTTGTCGAACAAATTAACTTCCACGCTATGAAATCTGTCAAATATTACGCTACATTTTTAAATGGCGTCGCCCTGGAGGCAGAAAAGTCGGGGATCCATCATTTCCATAGACTAGACTTTACGCTAAACATGATTCTTGCATCGCTGTTATACTGTTCCTTTGCTCATCGTTAAATGTAATGTATTGTCGAATGTTTATAGATATCCAATAGTATTTAAAAAATATCCGATAGTATTTTCATACGTGGTAGAGCCATGCTGCAGTTATATTAGTAGTATAGTTGTAGCACGTATGGGTCGGCTCGACCGGGGAAGAACCGCGCTCTCATAGAATAACAACGTAACGTAGAAGCTTAATGCTGTTGTTTCGTATGGTGAGTGTAGAGAACTGGAGACCCTTTTATACTGGAAACGAGGTATTCCGTCTTAGTCCTCACGGGTGACAACGCATCTGCATTCTGATTCGTAATCAAGGATAGACTTAGATGTCTATGGGACACAGTAACCACTTACCATCAGGTGGACCGTGTGTTCGTTTGTCACCCTATCCTATAAAAAAAATCTGGATAGGCTCGTAATTTGGCTCTTTTTACATAATACTGGCTATCTTAGGGTGTTAAGGGGATGCACTCAGTAACGGTGGCAATATGTTTTCTTCTTGGCTAAATACAACAACAATGCAATCGCAATATCGTCGTCCATATTCACTGACTGACACAGATATTCGTACTCAATGGCTGGCATCACTCAACTGAGCCTTGCCATTCCGAATGGAAAAAACGTATGTGTGTTATGTATGTACGGAATCCCGAATCGAAATTACGTAACGGAATCTCGAAACGGAATTCCGTATGTATGTGGCCGGCCTAAAAAGAGATTTCAAAATGTATTGAATTTGATCAAGGTCTTCGTATATTACATAAATAAGCAATCACACACAACAGTTTTCAGCTGTCCGTTTTTTAAATATGTTTTTGTTTGCTGGTTCAAAACAAGAATTTACTAAATTAAAACAAAAAAACATGTTGTTAATATGTAGCAGTGACGTTTAACATTTAGCGATTTCTTTAAGTGTCTAACTATTAACTGTAATTTAATCTAACTGTTAACTGTAATGTATCACACATTAATCATTATATCGTTTTCAATCACGAAAGTTTGTAATAATACTTATTTTATATATATTCCAGTATTCCATTTTCTTAGATTTTGAAGTAGTTTACCTTAAAGTAGTTTAGGTAGACCTGGCCCATTTCGAAACATCTCATACAAATACGAAAGTAAATAAGTGAAAATATAAAAAAAACGCTAAAATGTAAATGTGCGGTAATTTTAAATTTAACAAAAATTGTATATTTGAGTAGACCTACATCCTCACTCACTCTCACATCATATATTCATTAATGCTCTCCTGTTAAGCGTACTCGTGTTCTAATTATTTTTCAACTATTAAACTGTATTATAAATTATAGTTTATTTGCAAAAAGGGTAGTTATAATTTGTAATATATGGCCGCTAGAGGAGTGATGATGAGATGATAGCCTGGGGCGCTGACGACATCTAATTCGCCTCTGATATGTTACATCTAAGAAAACATATTACAATGCTTTAAATGTTATGAATGAAATTTCACATATTTGTACCGATCTGTGATTGTCATGTAAAATATTTTTATGTATGATATTAATCTTTTATGTTCTTAAAATTATAAGATTATCTTATTTTAGTATGTTTATTTTCAGTCACTATGAACTTTAGACAATTTGAGAGTTGTTTCTTTGTATTTAACTCGCTCGCTGTAAATTTCACAGTACGCGAGCAAACCGGCTTCGATCCCCGCCGGCACCATTGAAATTGTTAATATCAATTGTAAATGCTGATTGTCCACGCGCTCGGCGGTGAAGGAAAACATCGTGAGCAAATCTGCAAGTCCGAGAAATAAAAAAAAAATATTTCGAAGACATGTGAAGTTCGTCAACACGCATTGGGGTAGCTCGGCGGACATTGACCAAAATCCCTCTCAGAAATGAGGGGAGGCCTGTGCCAAGCTGTGGGACGTATATAGGCTATGTAATGGTGTATAGTTAATGCAATTAACGATATACCTACCTGTTGCATTTTTAGAAACAATCAGAACTTTGTAATTTAAGTATATTTTTTTAAAGAATAATGCAATTCATTACACAATACATATACGTTAGCTTTTTAGCAGACAAGCTTAAAGTAGGTATGTTAGTTCTGCCACACTGATTACAAGCATATAATACGATGAAATATACGAAATCACAACTGAAGTTTTATTCTAAATTAGGTATACGCACCACTACCAAAAGATTCCCTCCCATAGATATAGGGGGTATATTTGGCATCGGTGCCATCTAGGCAAGCCAATTGGGAACCGTAATTTTTGTTATAATTAAGTTTAAGATTTTTGTTAGGAAGAATGATATTAGTCCGTCCTTGTGTATAAAAAACTCTGTAGATCTTCAAAAAGTAATTTGACTACTTCAAAAAGTAATTTGACTATTTTATAGTTTATTCTTCATAAAACTTGCTCAATACTTGTTATTACTTATAATGTTATGTACCACATCCTACGGTAAGGAATATTGTTATTATTGTTATAATATTTTTATTATCATCTTATTCCATTTGTTTTTA